TGCCCGGACATCTCCAAAACATCACCCAAGGGAGAATCAACGTAAAGAGGTTGAGCATCTTCGGGAGTGGGCAGAATGGGAGGCACTTCGGCAACAGTGAGAGCCTGAGGAATAAAATGGTCAGGAGCCCGCTCCGGCATGGCCTCGTCAGACAAATCCACGATTATCGGCTCAGTCGGATCAACCGAATCTTGCACCGGTGTTGGATTCACGTCCTCGGCAACAATCTCGGCTTCGGCCTGTTCCATCTCCGCCGAGGGCACATATTTGTGCATCTGAAAGAGCGGGGAGTCTGACGGGATTCCAGCAGACTGGAGCGCCTCGTCCCACCCCTTCTTGAAGAACTCATTGTTGTTTTCCTCAAGAGCGGGGAGCACGTCTTCGGCGAACTCTTCTCGGAGTTGCTCCTCGGACTTCCTGTTCTGTGCCTCATCCTTGATCCTGTCCAGCTCCTGGGTCAGAGCCAAACATCTTTCCTCGGAACCAACAGCCCTCTCCTCTGCCGCAGAGAGCCGCTGCGTCTGTTCTGTTATCCTCCTCTCAGCGTCGGCAAGAGCAGCACTTAGCTTTTCAGTGCCGATCTTTGCCAACTCGGCATCCTTGAGGAGTTGCTCGATTTGAGCAGCCTGCCCCGCGAGGGTGGAATCCCTGGCAGCCACATCCTCCTTAGCACTGGCAAGGGCTTCCTCGGCTTCTTCCTTCTGCTCTCGAATCCGCTGAAGGTCCATCCTAGCCCCATGATACCGCGCCGCTATTACGGAGATCTGTTGAGTGGCCTGCAATTGAAAGGGCATGTTACTAAAGGAAATGCGGCTAAAAGAGATTGAAGTAAAGATGAACTTACCACCAGGAATCTGGATGATAGAGCGAAATAACACGTTCGTTGATCACCCTCTATGAGCCACCATGTCGGCCTCGAAATGCAGCGTCTCACTCACTGCATGGCGACATGAGGGTCCTGCAAAACGGAGTCGTCGACCCTGATCACTCGGTTCATGTGATCAGTGGGCTCGAGGATTCCACTCCGCGGCTTCCACTGTCTGCGGAAGGGGAGGAGGAGTCTGTTGTTTTCTGTTGTTGGCTGTTTGCTCTGTCGCTGTTGTTGCTGAGGAGCAGGAGGTAACCCACGGCCTCTCCCACTTTGTTGCTGAGCGGAGGGGGCCCTGGATCCCCTGCCAAGGCCGTCGTGCCTATGTTTGATCCTCCTCTCCTCCTCTACCTGAGGATCCCGGTCACGCACTTGACCCCGGCTGATGATTCTTGAGGACGGAGTGGCGCTGGTCCCTGCAGATGGGGCCCCACCGGTAGATCTTCGTCCCCTCCCAGCAGCGAGGGCTTGCCTCTGCCTTAGGAACCCTAGATCAATGCGTGGCGTGCTGGACATGGCTACCTCAAGGGCGTCTTCGGGTCGAGAGATTGTAGGATTTGGAAGTCCGGCCACGAGTCTCTGCCCGAAGTCCCCACCTCGGCGTACGAAGGAACCAAGTCCTCTCTGACCCGAGCTCTTCAACTTCACCCTCTACTTCTGCCTCCGAGGCCCGGTCAGGGTCTTCTTCTTCCAAGTTCTCCTCAACCTCTTGCCTCACCGCCTGATCGAAGAGTTCAGACCACCGCGAAGGATCGAAAGGCTGGGGAAGCTGTGAAACTTCTTATATCCGGGAGTATAATTCAGGAGGATGTGGGCAGCCCGGCCGAGCCCGTCGTCACCAGTGAATCTCCAAACGGTGACTAGGTCCGCAAAGTTCACCAACGACCGAGGTGGAGGAGCTGTTTCCCGAGGGGAGATGTCTACACAAGCAAAAAGAGGGGAGTGGGTCATGAGCACGTAGAAAATCTCAGAAACAAAATAATAGACCCAAAGGAACCGACGTACTTGTCGTTCTCCATTCCAATGGCATAACAAGCCGTCATACTCGGGACCGACACCTCTCTGCCAAGATCCCTTGAAGATGAGTAGGTCATCCTTGTACCCCTTGTCCGAGTCAGGAAGGTGAGTTACGAGGTACATAGATGGGTCCTGGCTTTGAGGTAGAAGTGTTGTTGAGGCGTAACTCTCAAGAGGGAATAACAAAAAAGGATATCGTTCAGCCTGACGTTTACCCCAAGACGCCTATTGAGCTCTAGGACCCCCATAATTATCCTAAAGACATTAAGGCAACACTGCCCGGGAAAGAGGCTGAAATGAGAGAGGAACTGGAGAAGCAGAGGGGGCAAAGGGAACCTAATCCCACCTTCTATGATGGCTTTGATAAAAAAGGCATTGCGTCCTCGGTACCGAGGGTACGAGGGTGCACAGCCGGGTCATAATCCTCTATGTCTACATTCGGGGAACGTTGTACTTAACCCTAAATCTATTAATTTGTTCACCACCTTTTACTTTATACTTCCCTGGCCTCGAAGTACTGGCCTGAGGGTTCTCGGGGGCAGGGCGACGACGAGGCATCTTCAAAAAGTGATAAAAAATAGAGGGGGGTTTTTCCACGAAGATCCCCAAGAAGGC